AAAATCTGCAATTCAGACTATCAATTAACAGCATTCCGGGGATTCCTGTTAAAACAGCTTTAAAAAAATGCCCGAATGATAGTAATAAATGAGAAAAAGCAATAAACATGAAAATGAAGTAAACCACTAGTTAGTTACGGCAAATCATTGCCAAACACCGTTACTTATGATCTTTTTGTACAACGTGACGTCCAGGATATTAAAAAAATATATAAATTTTTAAGCAGTTTTGGCTGAAATAAGTAGCAGTGCATGCTCAAGGACCGGTACCGCGGTATTTTTTACATCCAGCTACTGCGGGCTCAGAAAGAGTTTATCTGCTAGCTATTTTTGAAAAATTCAAATACTCAGCTTATTGCGCTGCAGAATTACAAGTCGGCTCGTGCGTGAGGTTATAGAACGCGAAAAGAGAAGACTAAAATCTATGCGATGTCTAAAGTCTAAAAGGCTAAAAGGAAGACTAAAAGACTAGAAAGTCCGAAGATAGAAGAATAAAATCTTTTGAGAAGACTAAAACCATTCGGTTCTGATTATGCTGCAGACCAAACCGTAAAATTTCGAGTACTGCTCACTTCGTTATGAGTTCATATCATCAACCAGAATTCTGGCTTGATTCACAAGTCAGTGTTCATCAGATTTTGAAATCCAGGCTGAAACGCACCAGGCGGGCCGGTACGATTATGCGTTTTTGCACATTTCGTGCCGTAGCAAGATCGTAAGGAATCAAAGTCGCTAATCCCGTGAAATATTGGCCCTCGAGATTCGGGAAGTTAATTGTGCATCTATGTGGTTTGCCAATTGTGGGTGTTGACTTCAGTGACCCGACAAATGGAAAGTTGCTGGCCCGCAAAAAAACGCCACACTAGAAGAGTTAAGATTAAAATCTTTTAGTTGCACATGAGCAGGAAACATTCCCTTAGAATTAAAGCCTTCAGCTTTTCCCGTTCCTGAGTTAGCAGTTATCCCATCAAAATTTTCACGTGTCCGTACGTGAGTGCTGGACGATTTTAAGGAGCTGACTTTAAAATCTTTTGCTCGTACAAGAATAGGGAACATCCTTCGAAAGTTTCAGCTTTCTAGCTTTCCCCGCTCCCGGGTTAGTAATTTTCGCGCCAAAATTTCCACGTGCTCGTATGTGGGCACGGGCGCTTCTAAACACCTGATCTTGGCCGTACATGAGTAGAGAACATTCTCTTAAAGTTTCAGCCTTCTAACTTTTCGCGTCCTTGGGTTAGTGATTTTCGCGCCAAATTTTTCATGTACCCGTACGTGAGCTCCCTAGCGGTCCTAAGGAGCTGAGCTTGAAAAAA